AAGAGATGTACATATGTATGTGTGTGAAGGGTCGTAAGCAAGAATATAGGATGTGCGTATGTACATATGTATATTAGGCTGGTCCAAGAAGAATAAAGTCTATGTATTTTATATGGGGGAAAAAAAACAAGTTTTCGTAGAAGTGGCATAGAATTCTTGAAAATCAATATTTTTCGATCGGAAAACTCTGGTTCTCTTCAGGAGGTTTCCAATAATAATACCCAATTTAATTTAACCATTTTTTAATACCAAAGATTTTCTATTGGCCTTCCATTGCATTTTCTGGGCATGAAAAAGTGGTTAAATAAACATTTGGGTGTTAATACTGGTAATCTCCTGAAGCGAAACAGAATTCTCCGGACGAAAAATATTGATTTTAAAGAATTTTTTACCATTTCTACGAAAAGTTGTTTCTACCCATATAAAGTACATGGAAAATTATGAACGCTTTGAGCGAACTCTAAATATTTTTAGATTTCAAATTAAAAAAGTGTGGGTAAATTTTTTTCGATATAGAACAATCTTAGTGGGTGAGAGCATTACAATTCCGACTTTAATTTTTCACATGCATTTTGTTTTTTTTTACCACCCTAATATGCATACATATATGTCCAACACAAAATAGCATTGACAGCTCTAGACCGGACTTTCTTTCAGTGAGATGGATTGAATATTGGTTTTCTGTCACTTTTGATATGTAACATGCGTATGCAAATTGAATTTCAATTGGACGTCAAGATAACGAGTAAAATCGATAGAGACATCGATAGCGATAACATTAGCGAAAACGTTAACGACTACTTTAAGTATATAGAAAACAATATTGAAGGTTGTAACAACAACGATAATGATAACGATAACGATAACTTCAGCGATAGCGATTCTAGTCTCGATCAAAATAGTTAAAAATATAACGATAATGATATCTAATGGTACTTACAACGATTACCATACCTAAAAAGATAATGATAACGCGACTTTAACGATGACGAAAACGATATCTACTTAGAGAATTCTGGCAATACTGACGGTAGAAATAAATATTACGATAGCAATAAAGTCATCGTTACATAATACAAATAACGATAATGATAAAACTAACGATAGCAATAACTTTAACGGTAACTGATAGCTTTAAAAATAACTGATAACTTTGACGATATCGATTCTGATAACTGTATACTCGATTTCTGATACATGCATACTAATAGTGATAGCAATGAATGCGAGTACGGGGAAGCCCTTTTATCACAAATAATTTTCCAATTTTCCCGAGATGCCTACCAATACCAACATCGCATAAGATAACGATAACGACAAAAATAAAAATAACGATAACGGCAACTTCAACAATACCGCTTATGATAACGATCACGATAATTAAAATTATAACAATAGCACCAACGGTATCGATTCTCTTAACGATCCCGTTTGAAATAACGGATATGTTAGTAAAAAGTGCAACTTTAAAGAAAACGGTAAAAATAACGATAGCAATAACTTTAACGATAACCGTTTTGATACGATTACGGTATCGATTGTGGTAACTAGTATAAGGACAACCATCTCTAACGATAACGTCATCTTTTACGATAATGGAGGAACGAGGAAGATCTTGTATCATAAATTTTTTGGCATTTTCAGACTCGAGGGGTCTAGGCTATCAAGCTAAGTGTCAAATACTAAGATAATTAAATGATTTTATCTTTTTTCTCCTTTGATGAAAACATACAAAAGAAATCCCATTTTAGGTCGAACGTTAGCATCCGATTCTCTAAATTACCCAATAACAAAACACCTCAATTAAACTGCCACTCAGCACACACCACTCGCAAAGCAATAACTTCAAACTCACGCCTGCGTCAAACTGTCATCGCTGTACATTTTCCGGTGGAACAAAGTACGCTTTTTGGCGCCGCAACGCATCAAAGGTGGATAAGATTAACAAAGCCTGCACCACATACATACATACATACGCATTCATGAGCACAAATACAATGAAGCATACATTCGCAAATACATATCCTACGCACACATATCAAATCCTTTATCAGCAAAGAACACTCAACGAAGCGATGAAGCCACAAGAATAGCCATGATGCGTCGTTGTGTATTGTTATTGTTGTACGCTTTTAGAACTGAAGGACTTCCGAAAATGCTTTGAACAGCAAACACGCTCACACATGATACATGATTCATTACAAAACATACAAAACATTTAAAGCAACAATAGTTACAACAGTGCCACTAGAGGGAGAGAGTGCTCCGTACATGCACGGTCATGCTTGTCGCTGTGCGAACATTGTGTAGGTGTTGAATGTAGGTTTTCACTTTGCGTGCGCGCTAGTGAATATGACGAATAGGGGGATGTGTAGGCGACGCAAGTTGAAAGCAATGAAATGTGTGTGTGTATGTAAGTCAGTAAGTTCTTGATGCCGCCTGCTTTTTTGGCTTCGCCTTTCACGCTTTTGATGCATTAACGCGCGTGGGATTGTGCGAAGCATCGTCGCCCATTCAAGCTTTGACGTTTGTTACGCGCGAGTGTACGCTTACATAATTGCTTAGAGTGCTTTAGATACAATATTTCAAAGATACGTTAGTTAACACTTTGTGGCCTTTACTTAAGCCAAATTGCAGTGGAATTGTGGTTGGTTTGTGACTGGCTGGCTGGCTGGCTGGTTGTTGATCCGTTTTTTTTTTTTTCAGATTAAATTAAAAATGGCGCACGCTCAAAGGAAAATTTTGGCAAACATTACTTTAGCTGGCACTTGTAATACAATGCGTGCAAATTGGGGAATTTTTTTCTTTGCAATAATACATTATTACATTAAATAAAATCAAAAAAAAATATTTGCAAGCAAAACTGAGTAAAACCAGCAGCTGTGACTTTTCCCACTTCCTATGTAAGCATAAAAGTCAAAATAAATTATACATAAAAGGAATATAATTCGCTTAATAGAACAATTTATCATTTCACTTAATTTATTCAACCACACACAAAAACTCTGTAGGCACAGTGATTTAACACTTTTCTTTTTCTAAATAAAAATAGCTCTTTGAATGAATGTACTAAAAGCTTTCGGCTTATATCAGGTTTTCTAATTTATTTGGTTTTTTTTTTTTGAATTTCTTGCAGGCTGTCATTTTGTGCGGACGCTTTGCCTTCAGGGTAGCGAAGTCTGTTTCGATGGTAAGCTCAATTTAAAAAGCAAACTTTTTTAGGAATTGTGTTTTTGTGCACTGCAAAAATATTGATTCTACATATTGTCACCTGAATTGCAAAAGGCTGTAACTAAATAACAAAAATTCTTAAATTACCTTTTTGATTGATTATGATGTATTACATCGAATTGCAAGTCCTCACACCAATTTTTTAAAAAAAAAAAAAACAAATTTTATTATTCACGGCTTTTCGCATTTCAGGTGACGATATGTATGTATGTATGTATATAACTATGTATGTACTCTACTCGTACTTTTTGGCCGAGTTCAACAAAGCGCGCCAGTTGTTTATCTTCTGTGACAACTGACATCAATTGGAAATGCCAAGCGAAGGCAATTCCCTCTCCACTTGGTCTCTCCATCGCTATGGGGGCCCCCCTCTTCCTCTGCTACCACCAGCGGATTCCGAGTTGAATACTTTCAGAGCTGGAGCGTCGGTGTCCAGAAATGCTCTTATATCTCTAAATTATGACTATCAACAGTGACGTTGGTGCCAAGACGCGAATGAGCTGACTGTTTGCTTGATGACAGGAGATACTTCGTCTTGTCCTTGTTTACCACCAGACCCAATCGCTTTGCTTCCTTATCCATCTTGTAAAAGGGTAAATTGTTCATGAGCGGTTCAGTTCTGCAAGTCTTATTATCTTCTCCAACATCCGATTAAAGAAATCGCCCTATCTGAAACCCCGTTTGATAGCAAATAAGTTTCGAGGGGATACCAAATTCAGATATCGCAGCGTATAGGCAACTCCTTTTAGTGCCCTCGAAAGTGGCTTTGAAATCGACAAATAGATGGTCGATCCTTTTCTCGCGAGTCGTTTCCAAAATTTGGCATATTATGAATACCTGGTCTATGGTGGATTTGCCAGGTCTAAAGCCACGCTGATAAGGCCCAATCAGTTCGTTGCCGGTGGGCTTCAGCCTTTCACACAATACGCTCGATAAGACCTTGTAACCTATGCTATAAATGGCGAGTCGCCTTTCATGTGGATTGGGCCAGTCGTCGGGCATGCGTTCATCTAACCATATTCTGCATGCTTAAGAGTTTATGCATGCACCTTGTCAACCCCTCGCCGCCGTACTTGAATAGCTCAGCTGGCAGGCAGCGTATTTGCTATTCGTACCTCGTCATAGTCTACTCTACTCATACTCTCAAGGATGATATGGAAAGTTTCCATTTGGAAGCAATGTATAAACATTCCTCTTTGTTTTCTATGGAAACTAAGCAGAAGTTTAGACTCGTCACTGTTTCCGTTCCGCATTGTTTCCACTCCCCTCCAAGAAGTTTACTGAGGAACTTTTTGGAAAAAAAGTTTCCCGTGCTTTCCATGGACAGCGTAGAGGAAAGTGTGACTATATCAAGGCGCACGCCGCAAGTCGGAGGAGAAACTCGGCCAAACCCTAACATATTAACCGGAGCCCTGAATAACGATTCCTGCAGAGGAGAATCCGTTCAGAAACTCCTTTGCGAACGGCTCGCGCTGTGGAGAATGCGTTTCAGATTTTTGCCGGACTACTGCGTTAGAGTATCTATTAGGGTTCGGCCGAGAGTCAGGATGATTTAAAAACTTTTAGGGGTAGGTCTGGGGAAATCCACTCCTCGGCATCATAATGCAAAGTCTTAGTGAACTTTAACTGTCGCTTCCCTCCTAGCCTAACTCTCGGACAGTGACTTTGCCTTACTGCACAACTTCCATCTCGGCACTCACCGCCTCTTCATTAATATTGTTTAAAATATTAAGATAGCACAAAGAACATATCGCTTGTTAACTCGAGCAGTTTAAGAAAGAAATATTCAGACGGCTAAGTGGCTATTAAAACCAGTACAGTTTTCTCGCTAACCATTTACAAGATGGTGTCCTGGGCGGTCATAACTCCGGGCTAGACCCATAAGTCTGCCACTTATGGTATAGAAACAAATCGCCTTATGCCTAGTTTACAATAACTTTACTTAACGCTTAGTTGAGGTATACTATACACTCTCACAAGAAGCTGGTTGGATCCTAAGGTGTGTTCCAGTATTCTTTTCTTGAAAAACATCCATCGAAGGCTGGTTAAAAGATTGTATTAGTTTAATACCAGTATATACATACACCGTATCAATGAAAAGTATCCGCGCAATTCAAATTTTCTTACGTTCTTCTACAACAGATAACATATTTGGAAAATGCATACCGACAACTGGCGTAGATGTTGAGGACATTGAAAAGTAAGTACTTCCCTCATTTCAGTGTACAATATTCACGACCCTCTTCACCATCCTTTATTCATTCTCATCTACCAATTCTGAAAGAGAAAATTGAATTATCTTTTCCTCTGTCTACTCCCTCGCTTCACGCAGAACACCCCTCACGGAGGATCAATCTCGCACCCTCGC